ACAAAATGTTTGAAGATTTTGTATTTGCACTTTAAAAATATTTAACTACAATTACAATGGCTAGAGTGCAGGGTTGAAAAGTTTTAATATTTTCATAATAGTATTTTATATCATAATATTTTCATTTTAATATTATCCAGTATTTCTATCGACGATATACAATAAAAATCTTTAAATATACAGCAAAAAATTTAGTAATGTAACATACAATAAGGAAAAAAAATTCGGGATGTTTGATTTCTTTTATAATTAAAATACAATGTGATAAACAAAAAAAAACGAAAATAAAAGATAGCTTTATAGATCGGTTAGAAAAATAATGTGAAATACTTTTTAAGAATTAAAATATCTAAGTAATACAAACTTCCAGTTAGTAACAAATAAACAGCAAATTTTATATAAAAATGATAACTAATTGACTATATTTAAATTAAAAAAATAACGAAAATTAATATAAAAACAAATTTAAACACATATTAATAGCAATTAAAACACACTATGAGATTTATTAAAAGTTAAATTAATATAAATTTGTCATTATTAATAAAAAATAGCAATGATTCAAGCTAAAAAATAGGTAATTATTAATATGGATAAAATAAATAAAAATCCAATGGATTAGGAATTAATAAGAAATATGTTCTGCAATAAAATTAATAAATTAATTTCTAAATTTGATTTTAAAAAACCTAATCTTCTATCGTTTAAAAAAATTGTCTCATAAGACAATAATTTAAATAACCCGACAATGTATATAAATCAATATTGTACTTCATAGTATAAATCTTTATTGAATGATTTGTAGAGTACAAATCAAACGAATCATTTATTAAGTTTAATAATAATGTCACAAGTTAACCAAAATCAGTTAATCATACCAGCACGCCAAAAATTATTTTTTCACCATGAAATAATACGAAGGACATCCAAACATAATGAAAAAAAAATTCAACTACAAACAGAAAAGGGAAAAAATGAACAATTTAATTAGCCGCAATGTGTTATAAAACTATTTTGATGGTATCAATGATTCAGGATATTATAAAAAAATAAAATAATATACATTTAAAATTTATGCAGTACAAAAACCATTCATGAATATATCGGTTTATTACAAAAGTCCACTTTAATCATTAAATGTATTTTTAATGATAACAATTTCCATAAATTATTTAAATATAATTTATAACATAAAATAAATATCATTAGATAAAATGAATTCCTGACAACATTATATTCCAAATAACATTCACCATGTTCATCTACAAAATTATCAGGTAATATATTTAATTTTTTTTTATATAATTATTAAACGGATTTTATCCCTATATTATATATGGAATATAAAGATATGTTTTGAAGATGTAGTACGGGGAGAGGGGGGGGGGAAGAGAGAGGAATAAACGTACATTAAATATAAAATTCGTGATATTAATGTTTAAAATATACTCGACACAAAAGAAAACATTGAGTACTCACAATAATAGAAACCTCAATATAAACGACAGCTACATACCTGAAAAAATAACAAAAATTGTATCATAAAACAAAGGATTTAAAATATACATTAATATTATATTTAAATATAGTAATATGTAAAAATAATTTATATATACATATATAATAATATATATAAATATATAATAATATTAATATATGTATATATATATATATATATATATATATATATATATATATATATATATATATATATATATATATATAATATTACAATGTTTTTTTTTTATAACTCATATCTTAAGTTTTATATATATATTACAACTAAGTGCCAAATTAAAAAAAAATCAGTTACTCAATATTGGGCAAATCATATATGAAAAAACGTGCATGATATTATCTATGTTCAAAATACTTATATACAACATAATATACCTATCTACAGATATTGATCACTCTGAGTAAAACAACTATGGGTTCTTAATTCGTGTAAACAACTACCATCTCGTTTTTGAACAACAAAATAATTTATCTGTTGAACTTGTCCAGAATGCATTGGCAATCGTTTTTAGTTCACTTTGCACGTAAAATACGAATTTTCAATTTTTAAGAACTTCGATTCCAAAAGATTGATTTAGTGAACTAACATTATCAAGGAAAGAGAACAGTATTTTTTTTTAAATATATATTTTAAGAACCGTAAAACAAATTAATATTATTAATATAACATCATTTAGTTTTAAATTATAGGTCATTATTTAACTACATTTTTTTAATTATATTACTTAGCTCCATTCCTTCGTCATACTACATACTAAATGTTTTAACTAATGAAAATTAAGCGACATTATTATAAATTCAAATAGAACCGTATTTTCAGAGGAGACCAGTACGAATTCGTTAATTAAGGATCTGTGAGTTATAAGAGCCTCTCTGCTAAAACGAGCAAGTCTTTACAAGTTATTAGGACCCTCATTTAATGACGAATCATTATTTCCAAAAGCATAATGATTTGTTGAAATGTACTTAGGTATTATGGTATTACAGATGATAATATATATTTTAATGAATCACTGAATCTAAAAGTATTTTAACGCGTTCAATCGATATAATAAAACAGTACAAAGCAATAATAAATATAAGATTTTTTTTTTATTTCTTTCAAATTCAATTACTTTCATTAATTTTAATGCGTAACAATCACTGACAATCAGCAGATGGCCTGATGAAACATAAAATGAAATTAATAATAATAGATAGATAGATAGAAACAAAGCTTTATTTAATATACATTTTATGTATTCCTTTTTTTTTTTTTTAAATAACAAAACTTTTTTTTGGCAATGCTATCGAACCGTCTGCCTGGAGTTGCCCTAAAAATACATACAATGAAAATAAATAATAATAAGAAAATAAATAAAAATCATTAACTTTGGAAACATTAAACAGCCTTGGAAATATAAAGCAACTTAAAACTACCTGATACATATAATCTAAATAAACTTAAATTTGTCAAAAAAATGAGAAAGAAATAATTTTTGTTGCATAACCTTAATCTTATACTTGCTTTTGTTAACATATAATTAAAGAATGTTATGTTTTGTACTGTCGAATCAAAAACACCCTATATTTATAAGCGTATATATGATACATGTATAAACTGCTCCAATCTTTGCCATTGAATATGTTCATAAGTACATTGATTTTTATTTTATTTTATTTGGTTTATGATTTTTTCTTAAAATATTTCATTCGATGAAATCGGACAAATAGCGACGTAGTGATATACATCCTCTATTTTATTTAAATTACAAAGGCTACACAATCTTTGTTGCTCACTCCTCATAACAATATTGTTTAGAAATAAGAATTGTCCACGCAATTTAAATATAATTTTAGTAAAATAATTTTATTTACATCTGATATGTAATGTTTTTCACCTAAGTCGCTATTTAAATCCTTATAAATGTTATGAAATCTGGATTTCACACTCTAGCTTTTTCCGTCATATCCGCTTTTAAATTATTTTCTAATTTAGTTAAAATATGGGGAATTATTTAATCACTAGTGTATTCTTGTGCCAAAATATTTTCTGTTTTATTATTTCTTTTGCCAAAATGTTCGGCAATCTTGATGATGGTAAAGAAAATACCCTTTCTGTATATTGCAAATGTAATGACAAAGTAAAGAAGAATATCGGTTTAAAATTGGATTCCAAATATAAAATATAATAATAAATATATAAAAGAGGCTTAATAGGCATGAGGAAAAGCAATACCCAGCCAGCTGTATCCCTTCTGTAGCTTTTATTTACTAAAACATGAAAGCTGATCCGCCATCTGAACGAATAGTTCGAGCCATGGAACTTAAAAACATTATCCTTCCTTGTGGTGAAATCGTGTAAAAATGTCTAAGATTAAAGTAATTTGTTTTAGATTTATAAATAAATATGACATCATGTAATTTACACTAAATGAATATTAAAAATTAAATAAATCATGTTTGTAAAATTACATCCTTATAAATTACGCCCTAAATAAGGGCATCCTTATTCATGTAAGCACATAAAGATTTATTCCACTAGGATTTCTATTATCATGCCCGTTGTTTCGGAATTAATGGAAAAAATATTATTAAGCGGTATTCAAACTTCACTAATCAAAGAATTGAAGGTCACTAATATCCCTCCACTACTGACTGTCCATTTCCGAAGAGATTTTAGATAAATGAACGGTTAGGTTAGGTTACGAGTTTTCCTAGGCCATCAACAATTTGGTTATTACGGCCTTGAGCAATGTTGTTATTATTTGTAACTTATCTTTCTGAAAGAAAAAAAAAATCTTTTTATGTTTTCCATTAATTACTATATCCTATAGTACAGTTTGTTTGTTTTAAAATATTTTCTATTGAGCTTACTGAATTTTTTAATGCTAGTTCTCTACAACGGGGTATTTTGTTTTTTACAAAAGCTTGATGTAATAATGTACAATCTTCTATTATATGCATTATGGTTAGCGGGGACTGGCAGGTATCGCAATATGATTGGTCCTCTTTTGTTATTAAATGGACATGAGTCAGGTTACTATGACCAATTCTCACCCTTGTCACAACCACTTTTTCTCTTCTGTTTCCTCTTTCAGCACTTACCCATTGTTATGTATTTTTTTTAAATATTTCTAAGTCAATTAAATTTCATTCCACATGGATTCCCAATTTGTCCGCACTCTGTATGAACGGTATTAACTTCTCATTAAATGTTCAATTACATTTAAACAGAATCGGTGCAGATGTGAATTTTAAGTATGTCAGCAATATTAAAATTTATATTAATTTAAAAAGTAACAACTATTTTTTTTTTTAAGTAACAACTATTAAGCAACATCTTAAACACCGAGGGAGCTCAACAATTGCGTTTGCCAATGCCGAATTACTTGTATTCTGGGGACGAAGTAATCTCGAATACATCTAAAACATTTAAATCAATTTTGATCTGTTTTAAATCAGCAAAAAACTCATCTCCATATATTATATTAGTTTGGAAGATGCAAATGAGGAAAATACCGAGGACCAAATCGGAGGTAGGTCAAGACCGGATTAGGACCTGCGGTGGCTGGCTGCGGCCACCTTCCGGACAGGGGATTACCACTGTTGGGACTCCTAGCCGATTTATGGTAATGAAGAGTACAAGCTGCTGGTACCGACAGACATACTTACAAATTGAGAAAATCAATGTATTGTTTTACAAAACAAAATTCTTAAACATAAAAAAGTGTATACTTTTTCAGTTATTCCTAATTCTAATGTTGCGTACTCTTAATTTTTTTTTCCACATTATTTGCGGGGAAGTATTTATATACTTAAATTTTAAGACAAGTTTCATTATAATCGTTACATCCGTTTAAATGCTACATTCTCTAGCAACAGAGATTTTTCGGGCGCCATCTTTGTGAGAAAGGACAGATGGTGAAATCTCAAGTTCACAAGATCATACTCGGGTGATCTTTGGCCTTGATACCAAATCTAAAAACAATAAGTCGGCTGGTCTTGGAGAAAAGTGGCGTACGGCAGACAGCGTATGGACTGGTGCGGGGTGGCCGAGCGAAATCACAGAAAACCTGATAACCGAAGTTTGAGGTAGAAAAATAATTACGATAATTATAAATAGCATAATTACCCAACCTTTTCCCCCGGCCCGGGAAAAAACCCGTGTAACCTAAAAGGGGAGGGGAAAAAAAGACATCGAATGGACAATTTTTTTTAAAATTCTATTTGTCGGATGCTAAGTATCATGAAACTTAAAACCTCAAATTTTGAAGAGAAGAGGCGGTTAAACTTTTTTTTCTTGGTTGATTACGAAGATTCAATATTGAAAATAATAAACCAAAAATGATCGACATATAATATAGAAACCTTACATCACAAGAATGCAAATCAAAAACAACGTTGGGACTTTCAAATAACTTTTAAATTTTTCAAATAACTTTTCATTTTTCAGCTTCTTTACAGGCTTATAAGAAACCACAGACATTTATGATTATGAAACTAAAAAAAAAAAACTTATTAAATTTTACGGTGCTTAGAAGAGAAAAGACACGCTATCATAAGTATCAGATCCAAACGCTTAAGTGAAAAAGAAAAAGGCAATAACTTTAACCGTGAGGCATAAAGTGCCTAAACAGAATTTCATTAGCGGTGCGGAGGGAGCAGGAGGGCTTGAGAAGTAGACAGAGAAAGGAAGATAGGGTAAATATATTGAGATATTGGAAGGGAGCGGAGATAGGCCCGGAGGGAGAGAGACCTGTTGGGGAGAATACACCTCGCCCCGCGTTCTGGGACCAACTTATATTGTCACTGTAGTATTGGGTGCGCCGCAGGGCTTCCCGTTCGCTCCTATCTTATCCTATATATACTCTTCCCCTTTATGCTTATTCTATTCAAAGTTATGAATAGTCGATTTTTTTCTTAAAATATAAACAAAAAATCTATATCGGTATATAAAATTTCATTCTTGTGTCTTTTAGTTAAAAAAAAAGGAGGAACCAGATTTACAAAACCATTATCCTACCTACGATCCTTTATGAATGTGAACCGCGGCCGCTTAACATTAAGGAATGAGCAACGACATGAGGTTTTTGAAAATAAAGTATTGGGTAGAATATTCGGACCGAAGAAGAATGAGTCACCCGGAGAATTCAGATGATACGACTCCAGCCGGTACCCGCACCGCATAGAATAGCCGTATACGATCTGTCCTTTTTAACTGTGTCCAATCTCTGATTTACATTCATGTGATATTTTTTACCAGAAAGGAACCCGATCAATACTAATTGTTTTTTATCGCATTTATAGCGAGAGCCAATTCTTTAATGGCTATATAAATTTATAAAAATAAGTTTTTTATTTAGGAGTTTCTTCAGTATGAAGTCTACCTCAACCAAATTCTTTCTTTAGCAAGTTTCTCTCTGCCGGTCCATCGCATCTTCCTCCGACAGTACCCTACCAGCCATACTCTCCATCGCTCTATTCTTCCATCTAACTGGGGGTCTTCCTCTCCTTCTACCCTCTGCCTCCCAATCCATAATTATCTTTGCTATCCTGTGGTTGTCCATTCGTCTCGCATAGCCATACCACCTGGATCTTCTTTCTTCAGTTACCTCTAGGATATTTTGCTTTGTTTCCAATATATCCCTTATAGTGGCCTTTTACCCTTTTGATTCCGAATATCCTTGCAGCTCTCCTCCAAAAATCCATTTCAACTAAAAGAATTTTTTCTTGGGTCATACTGAGGCGCCATGTCTCTGCATCAAGCTTTCTACCAAAGATTAGTATTTTTGTTTTTATTAAAATATTGCTGTTCCAGAGTAATGAATCGTACAAAAATCATACGATGGAAAATTCCAGGATCACTGTTTTGTTTTTTTTTTATCATTTTTATTTAATATTTGGAGACACACATTTTTTTCTTCAACGTGACTCCAAAGATGGCCTGCCTAAAGACAGGAAGAGAAGGAGGCAGAGCGCCCTTATTAAATTTGAAGCTCACCCAGAGAGAGGAGTTATTAAAACAGACTTAGGAATGATTAAGAGCGGAACCTCTCCGAGGCAGATGACAACTAAGTTGAGCTCGGTCCCAAACTAAGTAGCACTTGGCCCCAGGAGCTTCACCAAGTTTTCCTTTTTCAGCTTATCTTCTGCGCCCTCTGCAATTTTTTGCGCCAAAATCTTTTGTAATTAGATCGGAGGGGATTAAAGTTTGAGATTACTTAAACGAGTTTCTGATATTGGATATCGGCTCCCATTTTCAGAAAATCTTATTTTAAAGTTTAAAACAATAAGTAGGCATATATACTCATTGTAAAATTAAAATTTGAGAACTTTTATAGTTTTTGTTTTTATACTAATTATAGATCCAGTAGACCAAAACAAGCAGGTTTTCATACTCATAGTAAATTCTTTGGTACCTTGAGGAAAAAATAATATTTACTTTCGCTTGATAATTTTAAATAAAATCAGTACCATAATTAAAAAACATTATTTTATTTTCTATGGGCGTTTCATTTGAAAATTAAATTTTATTCACAACATATATAATCTAATTGAAGAACATCGTTTGCAGTTATCAGGCAATTTCATTGACTTTGTGGGATACTAAAGTATAAACTTTTAATGAGGTTGAATTTCATAGGTTCGTTTATAGGTTATTGAAGTTTACTGGTACATTACCTGGCTTATAGGACATTAAAACCTGTGAAACGAGTAGCCGTGTGGAGTAGAAGAACTTTTCACCTTTTTTCCAGGTCATAGAGCTTTACGTGGAACCTTATCTAAATCTCAACGTTAATTTAAAAAATAATAATATGTTCTCTTGATTCAATTTACACAAAATCAACAAAACCTGTTGAAGTGACTTATTTTTTATAAACAATCATTTTATAAAATATTGAGATTTTTAAAAATATCCTTGACTTCATTCTGAATGGAATTAGGTAATCACGGTATTAATATGTTTTTAAAATAAAAACATAATTTATGTTCAAGAACTATTGTAGTACCAAATGTAACTTGAAGAATTTGTAAGTTGTTATACCTGTGAGCTAAAGGGTTGTGGAATGATGCTACTAGATAGTTATAGTTACAGATATAGTAACAGATAACTTAACTTTGCAGATTAGTCACGCGTTGTCTGCCAGTAGATAAGAAGCCTCGACGCTTCAATTAGTTGTAGGAATATCATGGCGTTAGAGAGTAAAAGAAAATTAATTCCTTGAATATACATTGGTCAAGAAACAGTACATTCATACCAACGCCTTAAGACGCTTCTCATGGGAGGCGGTGCGGCGGAGCGGGCTACCCACTAATTCGCATCCCGGTGCCATGGGGGGCTTTTAACGCTTGCATTAATCCCCCGCCCGCAACCCCTGGCCCGGAAAACCCTGTATAGCCTAAAAGGCGAGGAAGGGAATGACGAAAAAAAAGACGGCTTCTCGTGAAAAAAATTATATAAATTTCAACGAAAACGGGAAACGTAAAACCTTAGATTACGGCCATTATACTCACTTCTTTCAAGACGTTCCAAATTAAAACTAAAACAGAAATTGAACACTTACATTCTCCTGCATACGCATCAAGGATATAAGACAAAGCCCAAAAAAGACACAGATATGTAAACTAAAAACATTTCAGAAATAACTAAAGCTCAGCTTTACATAACATTCTTCACAAGATCACATTACGAAGTAACACACAATTAACATGCTTGAAACGAATAGAAGGCTCAATTGAAGTCGGATGAGGGATATTCTAGCTTAGATTTTAATACTAAAATCAAGATAAGAAGGGCTACCGCTGCGCACGCCCATCTCTCATGCCTGTACGTCACAAACATTACGATCTTCACAGTTCACCTTACATGGTATAACCACAATTAGCATGCCCTTAACACGCATAGAAGACGCAATTGAAGCTGGGTGAGGAATCCCCTAGCTAAGATCTTTTTTTCATATATTTTTTTTAATTTATTTATTTATTTATTATTTATTTATTTATTATTTATTTTTTTATTATTTATATATATATATATATATATATATATATATTTTTTTTTTTTTTTGTTCTTCCCTATCTCGCCTTTTAGGCTATACGGGATTTTCCTGAGCCGGAGGGTGAGGGCGGGGAATTTAAAATCCATTCCAGCACCGGGATGCGAACCCATACATTTTAAATCTTCTCAAATCTCTTATTCGGTTGTCATGCAACTCGCTGTGCAGTGCACAACGCTTTAGCCCATTCGGCCACCCCGCCCCCACCCCTCGCTAAGATATGAATAATAAAATAAAGATAGGAAGGGATGCCGTTGAGCACTCCTATACCCTCATGCCTATCAACGCCTTACTGCTATTCTTCCCGACAGCAGATACTTTGGTTTAGGTGCTTTGGATAGGCGTGAGCGAAGAAATAAAGTTAAAAAAAAATGAACAATTCAACAAACTTAAAACTTAGTATTTCGGAAGCGATATGATAATTGAGACAGTAATGGTTACCTATGCTTTAATACTAATAATTAAAGCAAAAATATTATAAAGCGCAGCCTGTATTCATCGAACCACCCTTGACGATGAGGAATACCGAAAGTGATGATCGGGGAAGCTTTTCGACCGGAGGCAGCGAGGGTGAAAGAGATACAAAGCTCAAGTATGTCAACACCTTCACGCTTCACGGGCTATTTTTCCCTCCATTGAAAGACACGCACACATTCCCTCCTCCTCCAAGAGAGGTTTTTTTCCCCTCTTTGCTGAATGGCGGGTGAAATACAATGGCCTTCCGCACCGTTCTCAGGAATTTCACACATTTTTTAACAATTCGCGCCCATAACGCGAAGTTCGTAAACAAACTGAAGTTTTAGTTGAACCTTCAAATCAAAAATTTGAAGTATGGATGAAGAACTTGCGAATTTTATAAAACTGATAACGAAATAAAATCTTAAAAAAATACATACAAATTATTTTATGAATTATTGAAGGAAGTTAGTCGGACTGTTCTACATATCGTGGATGATAGATTGTCAGGGCGCAGTCATTATAAAGTTTTTATTGGTGTCGACGTTTCAACCGAAACATGTGGATCATCATCAGGGCGTGTTTCGAGCACTGAAGGTATCCAAGTGTTTCGAGTACTTTAATACCTTCAGTGCTTGAAACACGCTTTGATGATTGGGTTGAAACGTCGACATCAATAAAAGCTTAATAATGAAAGCGTCCTGGCTATTTATCATCCAAGAAATTATTTTAGACTGTGAACAAATTAAATTAAATATTTTTATTTACACTTGTACACTATCACTGAACAATTAACTATAAGCTACATTAAAAGTGGATCGCTCATAAGGGTAATCAGGGAGGCATTGGAATAACGCCATGATCATCTCATCTCGTTGTATACAGTACGGCTTTTATTGTATTCAGTGTCGACCTTAGGGAGGGACAATAGCCCCAGAGCGCTGACCGATCTTCAGGGACCCTTGCCACGTGTTAGAAATAAAAAAATAAAAAACAAAATAAAATAATTAATTTTAGTCAATCCATAAAGCAACTGTATTAGAGAAATGTTGAATGAAATAAAATTCAAATATTACATAATGTATATAACAACTTAAGAAAAGAATTAATTTTTTTAGGGTGAGATCAAGCCATTTTCCGAAAGGCGCCAAATGTCTAACGACGGAGCAGATTACATGGTAGTGTTACAAAAGAGCAGAGCGTGAAATAAAATGAGTAGTTAATTTCCAATTTTTTTGCATTTATTTAAAAAAAAAAATATTTATTCTTCTCCAAATTTCCGAATATTGCTGATTATTTTAATAATAATTTAAAAACATTAATTAAAATCCGATACATCGCTTTTAATGGGCACATCAAATACATAACTGTAGTATAGCTTCGTTCAGTTAAGTAAAAAGATTAAAAGGGCCGTTTTTGAAAATAATTTACTTTCAGGACAGTTTTTGAACAAACAAAAGATTGAGTGCGGTTCTTTTTGGAGAGAAAAATGGATGTTTGATTTGAGGTGGAAAAAAAAGTTATAAAAACATTACTGTAAACATTTTTTCATTTTTTAAAAAATGTTTTGTATACATTAATTGGACGATGAAGTAAATTTATTTTTAATTCATTTGAACAAAAAGTTAAAAAAGTTTTGATGAATGACTTTTTTAAAAATATTTAAGATATGCAAATTTTACTACATTTTTTGAAAAAAATACCCGTTTCTGAAATTTTTTTTTCAAAATGCTTGTTTGTAGTATTTAGGTTCGTTTTTGAAAAAAAAAATTATTGCATTATCGGATTCATTGGTTGTTTTTCTAAATACTCGTTTTTACTATAGATAATAGAGGACTCAAATTCTAGATTATTTTAAATCAGTCTCGATATAACCGGAATCTTAATTTTATTTATGTTTTCAGTTATTTAGAAAATAGCACATTTACACATGCAACTTTTTGACTTTTCTTAACTTAAAGGTTTTTAAGAAATTTAGTATAAATAAATATATATATATATATTCAAAAATGTCTGTTGAAGTAATTAATTTTGCAAAAGAAGTCAATCTAAAAAATGCTAAATTACCACTATATTGTATGATATTCCAAAAATGGACATAATAATCAGGTGATCCATTTAAAAGAAGAACTATTATTTTTTTTTTAATTATTTATTTTTTGCTTAAACTTTTCAACTGCAGAAAAGTGAAGCATGGCCAACGCTGTATCCAACATGTCCCTAAACACAGTGCTGGTATCGGACTAGTCTTGAGACTAAGCTAAACTATGCCATTGATGAGTTTAGGAACTCATTACAATTAAAGCCGAACAAGCTCAGAGAGTCTTGACTTTGTTCAATCGTCTCCCGGACAGAACAGCAACTACAGTAAATGATTACATTTATATATATATATATATATATATATATTTAATTTTTTTTTTTTTTTTTTTTTTTTTTTTTTTTTTTTTTTTTTTTTTTTTTTTTTTTTTTGCCTCTACCCAGCAGGGACAGTGGCAACACCTTCAGGTTAAATTCTATTATAGAGTTTCAACGCTTTTAGGAATTCTATTTTATTTTTATTTTTTACAGCCTTTTCGTTGTCATAGGGTTTATGACATAGATCATAGGGCCATCTTCTTTTTAGAAGCCTCAGAGGGTTATCAGGAATCGAAGAGAAATATGGTTATTAAATCGACTAATTGTCCAACTATAAAATAAATTAATATGAGATAAAAAAGTAATATTAATATTATAACCTTTGAATTCATCAAATCAATTTCCCAACTAAATAAAATTCAGATTAATAATAATAAAAAAATAAATATATAAAATAAAAAAGCAGAATATGAGAAATTGATACTAAAATTGAATAAAAAAAAGTCACGTTGAACAGTTATCCAACGGAAGAGTGAACAAGTTAAAAAAAAAAAATACGCGAAAAAGTTTTAAAAGCCAATCGTATCTGTTAGGTGGAAACCTTTCGTTTGAAAAATTCAGTTGACACAGTAAAAAAAAAAACGAACAAAACACGATGGAGACAATATTTTTACTGTCGTAGTATAAATAACTGAGGACTCGAAAAAAAGTGTCATTCAAATTACTTTAACAAAATAAAATTAAGTATAGCAGTCTCTTTTCATACTTTTTTTTTTTCTTCTTTTTATGATCTGTTAAATATAAGTGTTTTTAATCTCATTAATTTCGAATAGAACAAGATTAGAAACCATACTAATTTTTAAAAAATATATTAGCGCGGACAAAAATAAAAAAAGATTATTAATTTATCGTTTTAATGGTAAATTATCAATGCTATGGTCAAAGTAATTTTATGAATCCATAACAATATACCCTAAGTAATAAAATTAAAATAATAATTCAAATATTACATTTAATCAATAAACGATTAAGACCTGAATAATTTAATGGAGCAGTCTAAATTACATTTTCTTAGGAGATATGAATTATTTAGAAAGAATAAATGAATGCGATGCCTGAAAATTGGTTAATGCAAATAACAATAAGGTAAAGTTTTTTTTTTTTAATTTTACTGTTTTTGTTAATAAAATAAATTTTGCTCAAATAACTTTTTTCCATAAATGTTATAAATATTTTGTACTTTCAAATTTTATGAAAAATTTCATCTAATGTAATATAAATATTATGTAAGTGGTTGAGGAGCCCCTTATCGATATAAATAAATAAAGCTATAATTTTTAAAAATGTTTAAAATGTCTTTAGAGAGGTCATTTAATTATTGTGACAAAAGTAATTTAAATAATTTTCAGGAAACCTTTTTTTAACAAGATGAATAAAAGGCAAATTATTTGTGATAAATAATGAAAAGGAAAACAAATAAATTTATGTTACCATAATAGGTACCAAACCATAGAGTATTATATTTTATGATTTTTTATAGATATTATTTTATTTTAGAATATTTTAAAATGTCATCAAAACTAAAACGAGTATGCAAGAAATAAAAAAAACATATTGTAAACCAAATTATTGATAAAATAAAATAGTGGGAGTCATGTGGTCTTCGTTACACAAGAATTGTTTATTCATGAAGTGAAAAAATTAGATCTAGATCCAACGAAAATGAAAAACCAAAATAACTTTTGTAAAATATTAATTAAAAGTAAATTAAAAATACCAACTAGAATATAAACTTTAAGGAAATGATAACTATTTATCAATGGCACACATACATAATTTAATATATTTAAAGAAATATAACATACGGGACAATAAGAATATATGTATATGCAATTTCTCTTTATAAAAGGTGAGGCATGATTTTCGCCTAGAGAATTGGATATGGATATTGTTATCCGATCCTCACGTCAAGGGAAGGTAAAAACAGACACAGATAAAAGGGAAATTTTCCCATCCTTCTGGAATGATGGGTAAAAAAAAGAGACCCATTTTCATGCTACGATTGAACCTTTTTCATCGGGAAAACTCCCCCCGTTCCCAAAGAAAGGGTATTTATTGGCAGGCGGCTGCCATTCAGAAAATATCTGGCGAGTCAATTTATCTACTCGCCATTCAAGGGTCGTCTTTAAGATAAAAATTCATTGTCTGGAATTGTAACGAATCTTGTAAATTCATTAAATAATAATTTATTCCTTTTAATATTTCAGTTCATATTTCTCTCTGAGCTATTGGCGGTGCAACAGAGTTATGAATCAGGCTCATGAGCAAAAGTGAATAATTAAACAAATTTTTTTTTAAAGAGTAATTCAAGATCCAGAGCGGATAATTTGAGATCGAATAATGTCACATAAAAAAAAAAAAAAAAAAAAAAAAAAAGAACAAATAATTAAGACTATCATTACTTGTATTTTTTTAAAATCACATTTCGGCTCAACGAAACGAGCCATGTTCAGATCTAAAACATAAATAAAGTAAGCTTATAATAAAATTAAAAGTAATAAACACAGAAATATAATTACAAATATAGTGTCCGCTTATTAAAAGACAACTGAGAACCTCTAATTATGGAGATTAATTAAATATCACTTGATCATATTTAATATAAAAATATTTTAAATTAATATTAACAATTATAAAATTAATTACTTAAAAAAACTGTAATTTTCTAAGTAAATTTGTAAAGAATGTTGAGTAAGGAGTGAAAAAATGATAATAATGAGATAATAGTGAAGTATGTAATTAAGATTAATAAAAATGAAAATCTTTATGAAAAGTGATACTAAATATTTGTAATACTCATAAAAAGAATAAAAATTAAGAGAAAATAAAACTTTGTTTTATAATTAGGCA